ACCGTCTACCCAATACCTGATTTGCAAACGCACCCACCAGTATTCAATGATTCTTCACGAGGCTGCAGAAGTTCGAGCGTAAGTAGCCTAAATTCACACTTTGGTTTAAGGGCTTCAGCATCGAATTACAGTTTGCTGGTAGGTCAGCGGTGTGAAGCCTTCAGTATTCTGTACGCGCACGAAGGAAAATAGTGTGGTTGACAAAAAGCAGGGTGTTTCTGCATTCAGCCGCCATTCTTTGTTGGCTTCAGACAATGGAAGTCTCGAAAACGGCGGAGGCCATCCAGCCCTTTTTCGAATGGTTGTGAATGCAGGGAAGCAGCGAGGGACCAAAACCTTGAAAGTATGTAGATGAACGATACTTCCTGTGACAAACTGTGGGAGCTTTTTTGTCATTAAGACGTAGGATACTGTGATTTTTCGGTCTTTTTTGTATTCAAGCAGATGTATGATCGACGTCCGAAGTTTGGCTCGAGAGCAATTTATAGAACAACGCAATTTCAACAGTGTTAACTAAGTATGATTTCGTATGCCTGGGTAACAAGCATGGTCTTTCGACAAACTTATCAAAAGTTTACGAAGGTGAAACGCATGCTTTGGCACAAACCTAAGAAAGCAAACTATATGGGCCCAAATGATGTAAGTTTCAGCTATAACTATATTTCCGACAAGGAATTTCTTTAGGAAGTCGTGACAGACGGTTCGTGAGGCCTTTTGGTGAACTTTAGTGCTTCGGTACGGCATTTCACTGTGCAGTTCATTATCCCCGGTTCGGCTCTACGTAACGATCGAAAAGCAAACAGGAAAGCGACGCCCGTAGAAAATCTACTGAATAAGCATCCAATTACAATTTCATTGGCTAAACAAATGGTAGTGGTTTTTCCTGAGAGGCTCAGTGTATCGGATTTTGAATCATAGGTGAGAGGTCGTAGGGTTGATCGCTTCCTAGTGTTCGTTGACCTGAATTCAGGAGGTGAATATCATCTGGGATTTGCATGACGAGCGTGTTCGACATACTGATTTGTGTCCACCACTGGCTGGCTTTCTAACGATCTGATGTGGCTTCCACTGCTGACCAAACCGCTGACACTTGTTCTCCGCTACTGCGGTTGACGTAATATTATTCACGGTTAGGTGACCAACTGAAATCTAGAGAGATCTGATCCTCGATTCGGCTTTCTGTTCACGTCCACATTACTGATGTACTGGACGTCAACTACACTGACCGGGCGCGCACTAAGAATGTGCAGTCGTCAGTTTCTTGGATGAATCCTAATCGCGACCGCGGGTGTAATGGATTCTTCGGTTGATTCGACTCTATTCCTTAAACAGAGAAAGATTGTATCAGACTGAAGATGGAATCCAACGTGGTACAAAATCGGAACCAGTGGAGTGCTTCTGTGACCTTGAGAACTTCACTTAGTGTATCGTGACAAATCTGCCTCTTTAAGTGTTTTATGCATCGAAAATATGACTGGATCACATCCTTGACGGATCTGTCGGTGAACAGCAGTTGAAGTCCTGGACGCGACAAACGTTCTGCACAGAATAGAATGCCATTCCACGTTCCCGACACTGATATGAACCTAGGCGAGCACGACCAAGCCTCCTGAAAGCCGCCAGTTAGTCGCTGATTTCGGTGTCCATCAGTTGAAAGTCCATGGCTTGCAAGAGGCCTTTGCATGTTTGTTCGTTGGTCTTATTCCATCGGAATAGAATCGGGGATAAAAGCTTGCATGCAGCATCACACCACACTCCGCGCAAAGCGCTTGTTTTAGCTAACTATACACAGACACCCAAGAGTTTGGCCAACACTGACCGGCAAACCCGATTGGGATACTAACCATCCCTCTTACTACAGTAGGTCCCCAAAAGACCTAAATGGTATCATTCAGGGAAGGGCCTCATGAACGAGCAAACAATAATGTGCGCACCCCAGGTCTTGACAGTAGCCCAAAAAGGCGCTGAAGCTAATGCATTTATCTTGCAACGAATGACGTACACAGTTTGAACACCATCACAACCCATAAACATGATTATAGACGTGCTCGCACCGTTTTGCATCCAGTCGTAGTGCTCCGACACATACGGTGCCCGAGATGATTGATCGCCACCCAGAAAGACTCGCCTTAGATACGCAACATTTGTGGTTGCCACCTGTGAACCCTATAGGGTGGAGGAATACTGTATGCGAGGAAATCGTGTCAATTCTAGATTTCACCGAATGGTGCGGCCTTACACCAACTGGAATTAATCTTTGTTGTTACATTCCGATGGGGACACCTGGGCGTTTCCGCCGACACCAGTCAATAATGATAAGGGTGTAACTGACTGAAGAAGTTTCCAGGGCGGCCTTTGCAGTCCGAGAAAATTCTCGGACTGAAACTACTCAACGTTATCGTGAGTCTCCTCAATTACACCACGACGGCATTTATATGCATCGTATGGCATAGTGAGATTTTCCGGCTTCGGGTTCTGTTACGGCAACCTCTAGAAACCGTCTTTGCGGTGTAGTAGTTCTAGCTACCCAGTCCCGGAGAGAACACTATTCAAAACTCGCCACTTCCTTTTGTGCATGAGGCGCATTTCAGCTGAGAACATCATTCCTTAAGAGGCTATTATTATTCGCCTGAGAGTATTTCTCCAAAGAGGACATGCATACACACGGAGAACTCAACTACTTCGAAAACCTCAAGAGATTATATATATAGGATCTTTTATTCATAACACTAACTCCGGAAGAGCTAACTTTAGCAAGTATCTTCGAAAAATAGGCTGAGGGCGAAAGAGCCTTAGATTTCGAAAGGAATCTACATAGATGATTCAATGTTACACTAAAAATAGACCATGCTGGTGTTGCTAAAGTGAGACCGACCGATTGGTTTAATCCTTTTCAAGACAATATGTCCTTTAGGATGATCACCGTAAACCGAATTTCCGCAGTTGGCCCGTGAAATTGTATTTCAATGGTGAGCTCCTTCCTTGGAGATAACAACCCAGAAGGGATCGCTTTCTGCTGGTCTCTCAAAGGACGGCAAATGTATGAGCACAGCCTTCTAATGCCTAAAATGTATCACTTCTAACCGGTCTTTTCAAGTGGTCCTCTAGGTGCAGGAAAGTGTAGTTCGTGAGATGCGCACTGTTGACGACTCCCAACAAGGATGAAACAGCTGTACAGAACTTTTCGATGTTTTAGCATATATTGATTTCACTTACAGGACAAAACCACCCCGACTACCATCAAGTATAGTAAATTTGAGCCATCCCAAAACATCACTTTCAAGAACGCACCAAGAATGTACTCCTTCGACTCTTCCAGGAAGAGTCCGACTATTCAAAGACCTCACACAGGACCGACCACAAGTTATATCACGTGAATTGGCATTTACAGAGGGGGATTGTAGCAGCCATACAGATGAAAACTGTGTTGGAGCTCCCAGCACCCTAGATGACAAGTGTTGTCCTCAACCTATGGTCCAGACCCATAAGCTCAGTACTCAAATCCTAGTCTTTGTTGGTATGGTATTTTGCATTATGAGGACATTCGGCTTGGCTCTTTTTAGGAGCTTAGGAAGTGGTTTCAAAAAGCACCACAAGGATATTAGTGAAATATACTCATTTGCAAACAAATTTGGCTTTGCGGGAAACTCACGTGGAACCCAGCTGAATCTCTCGTTTATGATGTTTAAGCAACTAAAATGTGCTGCACCAGGCCGCCTCATGTTTCAGCTGGTGCGATATCTGCGACTACCCTTCTAGTTCCACCTGTATCTGATGAGTACTTCTTATGTCATGAAAGCAGTGCTGCCAGAATTCCCTACACTAGTTAGCATTTCCATCCCTCGGAGCCTCCCAATAACAAGCACTTTTCATTGCGCTCGATCTGCAGCCAAGAATGCCCAACTCGAGCACAATTTGACATATATTGATATACGACCGAATAGACATGCATGTATCCCGAAAATTACTAACGGTCCTAAATCATTAGGTGAAGCAAATGTGTCCAATATTGTCTAACGATGACGATGGACTTTATTCTGGCATTGATGAAAAAAACAATGAGAATCTTCGCAATTCCAGAATGTCAGCCACAGGTCGTTTGCAAAAGTGACTGCGCTCGCACCAAGTCATAGCAAATGCATGGGTGAGTTTGCACGCTCGCAATGGACAGGACACAAGCTTCTCTTCGTTCAGTTTCATTTACTATGACCGTTACGCGTGCGTAGGAGGACGTATCACCTAGTAGTGCAACGCCGTAGGGAGCTTCAATGTTCTCGTGTTTCACTCTGCTCGTTTAGTTTCCAGTCATAGTATCTGTTCGAGCTTTATCCGCCTCACTTCTTTGCAATACGGTGGTAAAGCACAATTGCTCAGCACGAGTATCACTGATGATGAGCTGATAATCTATGTCCGTATACGATAATCTATGACATACTGTATTTGATAAGGTATCAGAAGAAATAGTCGGCCAAATTATGCCTCAACATACCTTGCTGTTCTGATTAGTGCTAGCGTCCTCTCAATATCCAAGTGAGTGCCACCCCCCTCCCCCCGGGGTGAGTGGTATCGCATTTGCGACACATCTTAGTACCAATATTCAACCACTCTCTAAAGTGGTTCCCAAGCCTGTCCTACCAATGTATTCTTAATGACCGATTGACCACACCGGTATGTCTTCAGATTTATTCATTGCGCTTAGTCGAGGTGCTCAATAAGTGGCTGCTTGTGAGACTCAAGTAATCCGCTAAATTGTGAGCATGACCAGATCCTCTTTAGGTCGTAAAAACAGAACAAGGTGACGAAACTTACACTGTAGTGGTCATTGTCAGGATCAGGCGAAACAAACGGAAAGTCTCCATCAGCGAGTAAAACAGCTGTTAGAGTGACGACTTCTGCAAAACAAGAGATCGACTAATGGATGAGCAGCATACATTTAACGCAGAATACGAGGAACAAAAGAAACAAAATATGACTGAAACAAAAGAGAAAAGTTACGAGTTTCAAGGTACCATGGGGAGCGCATCATGAGCGTCCAGAGAACCAGCGATCTTCTTATCATGAACCTTCTGGGGGAGCTCCAAAGAGGGTGTTGTGGAAGTATGGGTTGATAAGACGGAGTTCTCTGGCTCTACTCCTGGGGAGTCGGGAGACAAATTAGTACCATATTTTCCGACAATACCTCCCTCGTTTTTTGAGTCCGGCTTTCTCTGGGCCAAAGCAGCTGCTTGATCTACGTCACCCGCAGCTCCCCGGTGAGCGCGGAAACAAAATGGGGGACTACGGGTTATAACAAACTGCCGTTTGAGTAAAGCACTGACCTGAGCACAACCAGTAAATACAGTCTTGTGATCAGAACCAATGTCATAAAAATACCGCAGATTCGAAAGTTGGATACAAATACCCATTTCGGGGTCTGTTCGAGAGTTTTCCACGCAAAACACTGGCGGATCATTAACCGGAACGATTTGACTGTCAAAAAGAACCAGAGTCTGATTGAGAATGAACTGGTGTACAGAGTGGTCCATCCGACCGTCTACTGATGGCGAATTTTCGGGTATGAGAAATCCGGCAGTGTCCACTTGTTGTTTCTTAGGATGGTATGTTACGTTGAGGCAGAACCAGAGCTGATTGAGAATGAACTGGTGTACAGAGTGGTCCATCCGACCGTCTACTGATGGCGAATTTTCGGGTATGAGAAATCCGGCAGTGTCCACTTGTTGTTTCTTAGGATGGTATGTTACGTTGAGGCAGAAGTGGGCTGCACTGCTTTCCACAGTGGAGAACAGAACAAGAGGACCACATAGTCTGGTGGGAAGCTGACTCTGACAAACTTCTACTGGGATAGAAAGAGGACCACAGCAAACGCATGCATCACTCACCCGGCCACATAGACATCCAAACTGTGTTGCCGGGTTGGATGGTACAGGTTGTTGTTCCACACGTTTGGACAGTAACCTGGCATAGTTTGCATCAGAGGAAAGCAGGTCTTTCAGAACCGGGGACGTCACAAAAAAACTCGGGAAGAGCACCGGTTGGTTGGAAAATACAGTTTTCGGATACTTAGAAAGAATCGAAGGCGGATGAGAGGGCTGCAAAACAACCGAACCACCGGGGGGAATAAGGGCATACTGTGGGTGACTAAGTTCAGATGGGGTGGGTGGGCGTATGGTAGGTAAGGAGAGGTACAGTACACCAAAAATCACCAGAATTACGAGAAGAATGCGCTTCTTGTGATACATTGGAAGGCCATTGGAATCGATGAGAAGGGGTGAAAATCAAGTGTAGTTAGGAAGCGGGGTTTACAGACTTACATTCTCGCAACATGGAGTTCGAGCATTAGTAGGTAGTACGTGAGCATTGTGGAGAGATAAATGAAAAGATTTTGTGCATCTATCTTCGAATCCACCAATTTCGTAATGCCTCGAGAACAAAAAGTGGAAAAATAGTAACCCAGGAGGGATAGAAACCGTGAAGCTGAAAAGCAAAAGGACAGTGTTGCGAAATGAATGCTAAACAGTTAGAGACAGCAAGACCCAACATTCACTAGATGTCCCTTAGAACTCTTCTGAATGTCAGCTTTACATCGAATTGATATTAGCAATGAGCTGCTGACGACGGATGTGCTTTGATATCCATGTTTTTACACGAGCCTCTACGACATAGCTTGTGTTTGATGCACGCATCTTGGTTTCACTGACGCTTTTCGCCCTTCTTTCAGTCCTCACGCTTTTTGTCAGTCACTTTTCTACAGAGTTCCAATTCGCCCTTTGAAGTTGATGTACTAGAGCTGGATTAAACATTAACACAATATCTGGAATGTTTTCACCAGTATTATTCACGTTCTGTTCTGTTGGCACATGAAACGCCTTTTTAAAGAGACAAAACAACGGCGGCGAACGGGCGAGGATAGCCATTATGGGTACCTGGCTGCCATTCAAATACGAAGAAATGGGTTCCTAATGTAGAACTAGAAGGGGAGGATAGGAGTTTACTTGATCTAGATGAAGCGATTGACAAGGCATCTGAACCTTCAAGCATATCTGGGCATCGTTTTTGGAATGTCCTTAGCAGAATAGACGCAGCACCTTTATGAACTTAACATAAGACAAACACGGCATTAAAGGGAAAGATTTAACCGATCAGACAGTCAGCATGCCCAACGCTGGGACACCCATCCACATGTTCGGTTAGGTTTGACAGCAAGCCTTCAACGACTAAGCTTGGAGGCGCTTTCTTTGGGCTTAGATTTCAAGATTCGTCCTCGAGCAGATTTCCACTACAAAGTCGACCTCCTACGAAACTATAAAGCGATTGAAAGTGAAGTCTGATAGCCTTAATTACAAACTTCCCGCACAAAGATAGTGCAATTTGACGGAAACCTCTTTCGAAGTACTAAAACGAGAGACGAACCCCTGACAAGGTTATCTTGAAGCCAGACAAAGTACATAGCAAAACCATCCAGAACAAACAGGATTACATAACTAAACCAATGCGGGACACTGTCAGACAAAGGATCAAAATGGATACAAAAATGGACAATGTTTTGTTCGTGGGAACTCAAACTTTATGAGTTGCAAGTACCGAATTACACGATTTTAAATACAGAGTCATATCACTCTGTTAAGCTTCTAGGTTTATATACACATGACCTTTGCGGACTGCCGAACAACCCCAAACACGAAAGGCCACTAAGGTCTCTTGGTTATGAAACAGGCCCCTTGTTACAAATTAGCTTAATGGTTGGCGGAAGAACGAACATCCATATGAACAGCTTTGGAAACCCACAGTTCAAATCGACTGACACTTCTCAACCAGTTACGCATTTTCCGCGGTGCTCAAACATTACTCAGAGATGTTCTACTGGGCAAAACCGTTGACCTTAACTGTGAACACATCATAGCTTGCGATAAGGCAAAGCCGAAGATCTCCATCCTGATATCACCCACCTGGCATTACACCAAAAGCTAAAACACTTTCAAAGGTTCGGAGTACCGGTAAACTGATGGCAGGGCAACAGACAGTCGATTGGGTCCATCTCTGGCTGATCTACTGACAGCGGAGATGAAGGCAACGCAGCATGTAATTCATCCACTAAGGTGACATTTTGTTGCAGCTCATCAACGCCCGCAAACAGAACTACATTTCGTCCTCACTTCAGCTCTTCGAATCTCTGATCGCACTCACAGATCCAAGAACCAATCTTGTGCCTTCTAACATATGTTGACAACCGAACAATCAGGCGCGACGAGCCATTTGGCACAACATTAGCCTACCGGGGCGGAACGATAACAGAGCCTCCATATCAAAAGTACTTACAGAACCCGAAACTTTCTTCCCCGGACCAGACTCATGTCACCATCATCATGATTGTCAGCTGTAAGCACAGTAAGTAAGTAAGTAAGTAAGCTGTAAGTACAGTGGTTATAGCTGCCACAGTTTCGTTCACCGATGATTTGGAAAGGTGGGGTAGGTAGCTGCGCATTGGAGGCGGAGCTGATAAATTGGTGCGTAAACACAGGGTCGTCAGTGGACTTCCAAGTGGGAAGATTGAGAAGGGAGCTATGCATTGAAGGCAACAGCTTGGACGCACAAGCGCCATTGAGGGCACGACTGGGCCATGTCTGACAATGTCTCTAAGCAATTATGTATTCGGCCTCGCAGCCTAAATCCAGAGAGACGGCAATGGCAAGAGCAGCTGAGTTTGCTGGTAATGACTTTCACACTTCGCTATCAAGTCATTATTTGACTTCCCTTGGCTCATTTCCACCCTTCATGTCGTTGTGCGAAAAGAACCTCTCAAGGAAGTCGATCTACAGGCATATGGAGCACATGGCCAAGCCAGCGCAATCTAAGCAGAGTGATCAGTCTATCTATGGTAGGTGAGTTATTTCTTCCAGAACCATCCGACGTACTTCACCATTGCTGGTCCGGTGTGCCCACCAGACTCGGCAATGCTCCGAAGACACCGACGGTCAAACACTGAAAGTCTTTTGACATCCTCAGCGCAAAGTGGCCAGGTTTCCGATCCGTAGAGCAATGTGGAGCGCACCGCACAATTGTAAACCGACCATTGATGGACAGGCTGATGGCACACCTAAGCCACAGGTGATGCAGGTCCACAAAGACTGCCATGGCCTTCCCAGTAAGGAGAGAATATCATCTTTCGCGAGATCATCGGGACTGATACAGCTGCCCAGGTAGACAAACTTGTCTATTAACTCAAACGGCTCATCCGCAGGCACGATGTTAGGGTTCAAGCCCACCCAGTCTTGAAGTAGCACTTTACACTTTGCATGTGTGAAACGCACGTCAAACCATGCGCTAGAATTATTTGAATAATTCAATATTATTACCAAGGTGTCAGATCCAAAGAGCTACGTTGCCTGTGTACTTGATATCTGCGAGCAGATGCCCCGGGAGCAGTTCGACCCCACAGGCATCATAGGCTGGTAGTGAGTCTTCCATGATCGTACGAATGACGAAATTGAAGAGGGAAGGTAAAAGAGGACAGCCCTGTCTGATAACACTTGATGTGGTGAACTCAGGTGAGAGTTTTCCGTAGACCACCACACGCCCGTGGGGGTCGGCGTACAACACCTTAAGGAAGGTCAAGGAGTTACGGGGAATACCTTTGCTCCAGAGACACTGCCATAGTGCCTGACAGTCCACAGAGTAAACGGCAGCTTTCGAGTCAAAGAACGCAACCATGGTTGGTTGCTGGAAGCAGTGTCGCTATTCTGGGGTGAAACTGTGATCGAGACTCTTGCAGGACAGAACCCAGCTTGGTTTCCACGGATCTGTCTCTCCCTTAATTCAGTCAACCTTCGAAGGATATGACCAGGGAGCACCTTCGATGCCACAGTTACCAGGTTGATGCAACGCTGGCCTTCACACAGCATCCCCTTGTGAAGACAGGAATACCTGTCGATATGAACCATTCTGCAGGCACTTTCTCTTCACTCAACATCACACCCATTAATGTTGCCAGACGAAACATCAGGGATTCTTCGCCTTCTTTGAAGAGAGTTGGATACAGACCATAGGGATCTGGTGTCTTCTAACGTTCCAGTACGGATATTTCGTACCTTATTTCTTTTTCCGAGGGATGAAGGTTATATTTTATTCGCCCGTATGCACTACCACTTCATGCCGTGTTACTGCGTTCTTCGAAGTGTTCGGCCCATCTTTCTAGTCAACGTTTTTGTGAGTGAGTTAAAGAGCCGCTTCTTTCACTTGTCGTTGTACTGACCGCTGCTTTTACAGGGCCAGTCGACCGTATAGGAGACGGTATCAGAAGCTTTTGAAGTCGACCAGAGCTCTCGGTCTTTCGAAAGACTGAGTCTAAGGATCCTTAGGCTCTTCGGTATTTGGTGTTTGACAGATTTGCATATGCCGATGTACTCGCTGCCTGCTTCCACGAATCTCCTGACGATCATGGGTAGCGAATTCGACGATATATAGCGCTCGTGGTCGAGTCGGAGAAGTCGGAGAGATAGCAAAAAACGCCGCTAGCATACCTCCTTTCCCATTTTTTCATGCTTCATCCATGTGCTCAAAACGCCGCTGCATACCTCCTTTCCCATTTTTTCATGCTTCATCCATGTGCTCACTACCAGTACGGTGTTGCTTCACTGTGGAGGGTTGTTTGGCTAGCTCAGATCGATAATGCTGTTATATTTGCTGATTCGCCGGCCTGTGGTATCTGCTGCTGACCCGCTCTAGTGCCTAGTGTCGGAGAGAAAAAAGACTTACGGAAGGGAACACAATAGCTATATCCCAAAAAAAGTGGTTGCGAGAGCGCGAGTGCGAAATGTACAACGGCCTCAAGCTTTTTATTGGAAGGACACTGTCTGAACTTGGTCCAATGCTGACGCACGCGGTCTGGTTTTGGTACGAGGCAGCGAAG